TATATATATATATTGGCAGACAGACCGACCGACCGCCGACCGAGACAGAGAGATTTAACTTGACAGCCTTAATGAACCGTGTTTGCATCTTGCAGGAATGAAGTTACAGGCTCTAGGTTAGTCTCACTGATGCAAAATTCTTTCATCTTAATTTTTCATCTGTTTAGAGAAAGGAAATGGAGGAAATGGAGATGAGGGGAAGAGAGAGAAAGGGAGGAAGGAAGGGGTAGGGTGAGGAAGGAAGGAAGGAAAGAAAGGAGAGAGCAAGGGAGGAGGAAGAGAAAGGGGAGGGAGGGAGGGAGGTAGGGATGGGCAGAGCGAGGGAAGGAAGGATAGAACGGCAAAGGGAGGGAGGGAAGGAGGGAAGAAGGCAGAAAGGAAAGAAGGAATGAAGGATGAGAGGAAAGAAGTAATGAAGGGAGGGAGGGAGGAAAGTAGGAAGGAAGGAGGGAGGGAGAGAGGAAGGGAGGACGGGAGGGAGGGAGGGAAAGGGAGGGAGTGAATAAGGAAGGAAGGGAGGGAGGGAGGGAGGGAGGGAAAGGGAGGGAGGAAGGTAATTTTTTTGTACATCGATGATAATAAAACACAAAATGATAATGAAGATGGTGATGTGCCTGAAATAAAAGTAGTGCAGATGCTAATAATGAAGATTGTGATGATATTGATGATGATGATTATGTTTACACTGATAACAATAATGATGATGATGACTGTGGTTATAATAAGAGGAATATTGATTAGTAGTTATAGCGTTTATGGTAATAGTAATGTAATAATAATGATAATGATAATAGTAATAGCGTTTGTAATAGTGATAGTGATAATTTTAATAATAATGGTTATAGTGATTATACAATGATAACGGTAATAATGTTGATAATAACGATAGCCATAACGGTAATGAAATGGGAGAAACAATTTTAATAGCGATGATAACAGTAATGAAGAGAATAAGGAACAAAGACAATATGTAATGCCTTTCCTCCCCGGCATCCACTCGTCACGGAGGTGGAGGAGGAAGCTTCATTACGAAAGCAGAATAAACGAAATTCTTTGTGTAAGTTTCGGCAACTTCAGTAGATTATCACAGCTCCGTGTGTCGCTCGAGCCAGGCGGTCCTTGTCCCCCTCCCTCCCCCCCCTCTCCCCTCCTTCCCCGTCCCTTCCCTCTTTCCCTTGGTCTGTGTCCCCCTCCCCTCCCCCTCCCCCTCCCTCCTTCACTCAATCTCTTCCCTCCCGGTATCTCTAACTCTTTTACCTAAACCCTCTCCCCCCCTTTCTTCTTTACTCTGGTATGCCTGTCTGTCTGTCTCTTCTCTCTCTCTCTCTCTCTCTCTCTCTCTCTCTCTCTCTCTCTCTCTCTCTCTCTCTCTCTCTCTCTCTCTCTCTCTCTCTCTCTCTCGCTCTCGCTCTCGCTCTCTCTCTCTCTCTCTTGCTCTTTTGTCCTCTCTCTTGCTTTTCCTCTTTATTCCCTTTCACTCCTTATCTTCCTCCTCTCTTATTCCTTCCCCTCTTATTCCCTTCCTCCTTTATCCCTCTCCCTCAGTATCACTCTCCCCCCCTTACTCTCTCCTCTTAGAACCCTGCTCCTCTTCCTCCTACCCCCTCCCCCTCCTCTTGTACCCGTACCCCTCCCCCTCCACTCTCTCTCCTTCAGCCCTCTCTCCCTCTCCCCTCCCACCCTTTCCCCCTCCCCCCCACTCCCCCACTCCCTCTCCCTCCTACCCCCTCCCCCTCCACTCTCTCTCCTTCAGCCCTCTCTCCCTCTCCCCTCCCCCCCTTCCCCCCTTCCCCCCTTCCCCACTCCCTCTTCCTGAAGGTGTGTCGGTGTTCGCCATCTGTGTCATAGTGCCATCGTTGGGTGGGCGAGTGGCACTGTCCTTGGTCCAGGAAGGATAGTATGGGGAAAAGAGAGAGGCGAAGAGGAAGAGGGAGAGAGAGGAGGAGAGGGAGAGGGAGAGAGAGGAGGAGAGGGAGAGAGAGGAGGAGAGGGAGAGAGAGGAGGAGAGGGAGAGGGAGAGGGAGGAGGAGAGGGAGCGGGAGAGAGAGGAGGAGTGGGAGAGGGTGAGAAAGAGTAAGATGGAAAGAGAGAGAGAAAGAGAAAGAAAGAAGAAAAGAGAGAAAAAGAAAGAGGGAAAGAGAGAAAAAGATAGAAATAGAGATAACGATGGAGATAGAGACAGAGACAGAAGAAAAGAAAAAAAAAACGAGAAAAGAGGGGCGGGCGGAGAAAAAACGAGAGAGGTAAAGACAGAGGAGGGAGAAAGTGAAGGACGAGGTGGCACCGTAAGCAGTTTCGGTGCCTGCTCTCGAGAGGCGTCTCTCTCGAAGGACGGCGCCCCCCCCCTCCCTTTTCTGGCGATACAGCGAGATACGGGATAGGAATACGGCCAAAACAACTAGCCAGGCCGTTTGAAACTCCTCGCCAGACTCCCATCTTATCTCCCGCTTCCGATAAGACGAGTCTCAGCACTCTGCCGTAGCACGATCGTTGTCTGTCG